CCCTCTGTACTCTCCTCAGACTGGCACCCAAACACTCTGAAATGTTTGTATTGGCAACTCCCGGTGCGAATGCCAAGCAGTACGACATGCCGTTTCCAAATTTCTGGCGGAGGGAATTGCGCCATCGTGGTCTTTTTCCCACAGACGGCGTCCAACCGACTCTACTACACTGTGCAACCAATTAAAGCAAAAACAACGTTGATGTGCAAAATGAAAAAAAAAATTAATGGCGACAATTTACCCAACGCACCAAATATATATATATATATATATATATATATATATAATCTCTGTCGTACGCTTTTCATATCTATCACAGTCTATTTCAATTTATTCATATCTATCTATCTATCTATCTAGCTATGTCCATAATATCTGTCTTTCTATCTATCTAATCTATTTATCCAATTCTATCCATGCTCGTAATATCTATCTATCGACTCTCCTCTCTCTCTCTCTCTCTCTCTCCCTATCACTCTATTTGTCTTAGTCTATTCATATCTATCTATCTATCTATCTATCTATCTATCTATGTCCATAATATCTGTCTTTCTATCACAATCTATTTATCATGTTCGTAATATCTATCTATCGACACACATTTCTATCTATCTATCTATCTATCTATCTATCTATCTATCTATGTTCGTAATCTCTCTTTCTCTGTCTCTCTCACTATCTCTCTATCGATCACACCCTACTCGTCTGAGTCTATTCATATCTATCTATCTATCTATGTTCGTAATCTATCTATCTATCTATCTATCTATCTATCTATCTATCTATCGCACTCTACTTGTCTGAGTCTATTCACATCTATCTATCTATCTATCTATCTATCTATATATATATATATATATATATATATATATATATATATATATATATCATACGCTCTGTAATTTCGGTGTCAACCTTGATGTGCAAATTGGTTAGGCTTAAATTTTACCCATTGTTATCTGTTATTCAGTCGGGGAATAAGTGCTTTAAGAAAACCGTTCTTTGTTTCATTTTTAGGTTACACCTACACTAGCGCCCCCTTTCGAAACTGAATTCCAAACTTAATCTGAAATTAGAAGCAAAAGCGAAGCAACCCATCCTTAATAATTGGTTTGAGACACATTCCATATTCATTCTGATTATGAAATAATCAGCAATAAATTTCATTTGAGTTTTAAAAGTAAACAGGGAATAAGAACGAGAAATAGAATCTCTATTTGTACACACTCACTTTTTCAGAGATGCTACTTGTCTAATCAGTCTCCCTGATTTTGATGGAACTCATAAAAACGAATTGCAAAATGGCGGCCATTCTCCTCAAATCTCAGCCGCGCGTTTCTCTCGTTGCTCTGATCCAATAATAAAAATGTACATTTAGACTAGTTTTTATTCGCTTCATCATCTCCGTCGATCTCTATTTGTCTCTTTTTTTTTCTTTTCTTGGCTTGATTCTGCTAATATTTCAATGCCTTCTTCTTTATTTCATTCCAAATGCTATTTTTTTTGCCTGCTTTCTTTCCCGCTTTTCTTTAACGTCTGCTTCCGTCATTTTCTTTAGCGACATTTTTTTTAAGTCGGGAAAATTTCTTTTTCTCGTCTTTTTTGTTATTTCTTTTTTTTTTTTTAATCAATTCGCCACAAGCAAGGCGATAAATCCACTGAGACGTTATATGTTGATGAAAATGAATAAAGATTTGAAAACGTTAGCGTGGAAGAAGGACAATTAAAAAAAACAGGACTCAAAAGACAGAATATCACGATTGACGTTACGTTTAAATTTCTGAAGATTATACAGGCTACTCAGTAAAAAGGCGGTAAATTTAGAAAGACGTGAGATAACCGTTGAAAACTGATGACGACTGATTTGACTGAAAAATTCAAGAAGAATTTCTGTAAATTGCGTCAATCTCCACGTCGGATGTTCTTCTTTGAGAAGTTCGATAACTTGACGCTCAAAATCAGTAAGTTTTCCAGCCATAGAGCAGAACGATAAGATGAAAGTTGTCTGCAAATAATCTTTTAATGACGAATCATAATATCGATCAGCTATTAATCAATCATAAGAGAACGAATCAGAGTTAAGTAAATAAGCGAGAGTCGAATGATTATTCAAGGTAATGAATATTCAATTATTCCTGAAAGATAAAATAGTGATAATAAATTTGCCAATTTTTACTGATGACTGTATAAAAACGTAAAAGAAGGGTAAATCTGCAGCTTCAACAATAAAAATTTTATCTCGTTTACTCCCTTAGATTTGGAGTTCATTAAATGCAACTGCCTGTAAGATGTGGTCCCTACAAAGCATATTTGAAATATAAGGTACTAATCCCAAATTTTTATTACGATACAAATAAAACATTGTCCAAATGGCACCAGTGCTACTACCATACTTTTCTACCTATCCGCTGTGGAGATAAAATTAACAAAAGTAATTAATTTACTAAGGTGATTCGAAAGTTTTGTACGCCAGAGAACGCCAAGACCGTCCTGGGTAAGACGATAAACTACATCCGACAGCAAGGACTCTGATGCGAAAGTTTTGAGGAACGTGGAACCACCTCTTAATTGATGGTATGTATCCCATATTATTAAGGCCTTGTAAATAATTTTACCGATCGGTTTTTGCTTTAGTGTATATCACCCCACAATATTTATATCGTAAATTATTAAGGCATTGTAAATAATTTTACCGATCGTTTTTTGCTTTAGTGTGTATCCTACCACCACATTTGTATCGTAAATTATTAAGGCATTGTAAGTAATTTTACCGATCAGTTTTTCCTTTCGTGTGTATCTTCTCACCACATTTGTATCGTAAATTATTAAGACATTGTAAATAATTTTACCGATCGGTTTTTGCTTTAGTGTGTATCCTACCACCACATTTGTATTGTAAATTATTGATGCATTGTAAATAATTTTACCGGTCGGTTTTTGCTTTAGTGTGTATTTTACCACAACATTTGCATCGTAAATAATTAAGGCACTGTAATTAATTTTACAGATCGGTTTTTTCTTTAGTGTTTATCCCCCACCACATTTGCATCGTAAATTATCAAGGCATTGTCAATAATTTTACCGATCAGTTTCTGCTTTGGTGTGTATCCCACCACCACGTTTGTATCGTAAATTATTAAGGCATTGTACATAATTTTACCGATCAGTTTTTCCTTTAGTGTGTATCCTACCACCATATTTGTATCCCATATTATTAAGGCATTGTAAATAGTTTTACCGATCGATTTTTGCTTTAGTGTGTATCCCCCACCACATTTGTATCGTAAATTATTAAGGCATTGTAAATTATTTTACCGATCAGTTTTTGCTTTAGTGTGTATCCTACCACCACATTTGTATCGTAAATTATTAAGGCATTGTAAATAATTTTACCGATCAGTTTTTGCTTTAGTGTGTATCCTACCACCACATTTGTATCGTAAACTATTAAGCCATTGTAAGTAATTTTACCGATCGGTTTTCGCTTTAGTGTATCTTACCACCACATTTGTATCATAAATTATTAAGGCATTGTAAATCATTTTACCAGTCGGTTTTTGCTTTAGTCTGTATTTTACCACAAAATTTGTACCATAAATTATTAAGGCATTGTAAATAATTTTACCGATCAGTTTTTCCTTTCGTGTGTATTCTACCACCACATTTGTATCGTAAATTATTAAGCCATTGTAAGTAATTTTACCGATCGGTTTTCGCTTTAGTGTATCTTACCACCACATTTGTATCATAAATTATTAAGGCATTGTAAATCATTTTACCGGCCGGTTTTTGCTTTAGTCTGTATTTTACCACAAAATTTGTACCATAAATTATTAAGGCATTGTAAATAATTTTACCGATCAGTTTTTGCTTTAGTGTGTATTCTACCACCACATTTGTATCCCATATTATTAAGGCATTGTCCCGATTTTTTTCTTGATATGTTAAAAGAATGTTTTTATTTCAAGGATTCAAATTCCTGTTTTATGATATTTTAGTCAAATTTCTTACTTTTTTATATTTATTTTTTTTTATTTTAAGTTTTATAATACAACAATAAATGGCATCGCTACTTCCGTTTTTCCTCTTATATTTGATAATGTAGGATACAAATGTGGTGGTAGATTACACTGATCGGGAGGACATACGCTAAAGCGGCAGCAACTTTTTTAGTATTATATCCCAAAATATTTTAACATTCTAAAAATGCTATAATCTTATTGATGGTGGTCCTAATGATTAACACATAGTTGGGGGAAAGAGGTGAACTCATAACTTTTCCAAAGTTATTTTTGCATAAGTGAACATAATGAACCCAGCTGGATTTGGAACTCGGCTCAGTTCCGAGCTTACAGTACCATATGGTCACCCATTTAGTTACTGAGCAGGCTCGACTTTGCTTAACTTCGGTGAAAGTACGAGAACAGGTGTTTCAACGTGATATGGTCGTAAGCTTGTTTATGCTGAAGTCTTCTATAGTTAAATATTGGGCTTGTTTACATCTGAGTCTGTAGATAAATATTTGTTGGGTCTGGCCTTACAACTTGAGCCCATAGGAAAATAGATCTAAATTGTGCTTACGTATGTAGTGAATATATATATATATATATATATATATATATATATATATGTAAATGGTATCACCCCATACAAGGCAGTAAGGCCACCAAAATACAAAGGGTTACAGTTTGTGGAAGAATTAGGAACAGAAACTTTAATAATGAGTGGAAAGACAAAAGAATAACTAGGAAAGTAGATAGTGATTGACATTGCATTTAAACTTTTGCAGAATAAAGTTGGCTGGAAAGCATGGAGCCGAAATGGAGTTCCAAAAACGAGAAGTGTGAAAAAATAAAAGAGGAATATAGGCTGCATACAACGGCCGAAACGCCGTGAAGATGACAATAAAGATGAGTAAAACAGTCCGAACAATGTTAATGGGATCAATAGTAATACATTCAATGCAAATGGCGAGTATAGACATATACATATACGTATATATGACGTTTTCTCTCGTTTTCTTTTTAAGTTTTATTTATTTCTTTTCTTCATTTCATTCTACATTTTTATCGAGTTTCCATATTTTTTATTTATTTATTTATTCATTCATTTATCGCTTTCTGTTCCTTCACTTATTTTCTTTCTTTCTTTCTTTCTTTCTTTCTTTCTTTCTTTCTTTCTTACCTGCTTCATACATTTGCATCACTAATTCTTTGTTCCTTCTTGCCTTCGTTTCTTTCTTTCTTTCTTTCTTTCTTTCTTTTTTTCTTTCTTTCTTTCTTTCTTTCTTCTCATTACTAATTTTCAGACTCTCGAATATTTCTTCCCAGCTTTCTTTCTTTCTTTCTTCATTTTCTTTCTTTCAGTTTTCTCTCCGTTAATTCCGTTTCTTTCTTTCTTTTCTTACTCGCTCAATCCATTTGCCTTACTAATTCTTTCTTCTTTCTTGCCTTCGTTTCTTTCTTTCTTTCTTTCTTTTTTTTTTCTTTCCTTCTTTCCTTCAGGTGTCTTTTCCGTATGTTTTACTTCGTTTCAGTTTTCCCCCGTTCCTTCATTTTCTTTTCTTTCTTTCTTTCTTTCTTTCCTTCTTTCTTTCTTTCTTTTTTTCTTTTTTTATTCTCTCCGTTCATTCCGTTTCTTTCTTTCTTTTATTTCCTTTTTTATTTTAGTCATTGACTCTAAACCTTCTGTTCATTCAAAGTCTTTCTTTTCTTTCTTTCTTTCTTTTTTCTTTTTTTTTTTTTTTTCTTTTTCTTTCCGTTCATTCCGTTTTCTTTCTTTCTTTTATTTCCTTTTTTTTATTTTAGTCATTGACTCTAAACCTTTCTGTACATTCAAAAGTTTTTATTTTAGTCATTTTTCTTTCTTTCATTTCTTTCTTTCTTTCTTTCTTTCTTTCTTTCTTTTTTTCTTTCTTTCTTTCTTTATTCACTCCGTTCATTCCGTTTCTTTCTTTCTTTTATTTCCTTTTTTATTTTAGTCATTGACTCTAAACCTTCTGTTCATTCAAAGTCTTTCTTTCTTTCTTTCTTTCTTTCTTTCTTTCTTTCTTTCTTTCTTTTATTTCTTTTTTTTATTCTCTAAACATTCTGTTCATTTCTTTCTTTCTTTCTTTTCTTTTTTTTTCATTCCGTTTCTTTCTTTCTTTTATTTCCTTTTTTATTTTAGTCATTGACTCTAAACCTTCTGTACATTCAAAGTCTTTCTTTCTTTCTTTCTTTCTTTCTTTCTTTCTTTCTTTCTTTCTTTATTCTCCCCGTTCATTCTGTTTCTTTCTTTCTTTTATTTCCGTTTTTATTTTAGTCATTGACTCTAAACCTTCTGTTCATTCAAAGTCTTTCTTTCTTTCTTTCTTTTTTTCTTTCTTTCTTTCGTTCTTTCTTTATTCACTCCGTTCATTCCGTTTCTTTCTTTCTTTTATTTCCGTTTTTATTTTAGTCATTGACTCTAAACCTTCTGTTCATTCAAAGTCTTTCTTTCTTTCTTTCTTTCTTTATTCCACCGTTCATTTTTTTTTCTTTCTTTCTTTTTCTTCTGCCTGCATCATTCAAAGTCTTTCTTTCTTTCTTTCTTTTTTCTTTCTTCTGTCTGCATTCTTACTCTCCTCTCTTTCCAATTTGCATCTTTCTTTCATTCATTCTTTCACATGATCATCGTATAGTTCCTCCTCTTTTCAAAGTTTTCTTTCTTTCTTTCTTTCTCCTGCTCTACCATTAACATCAGCCTCTTTATTCTTTCTATTGCTCATGTTCTTTCATTTTCTAAATTCTTTCAATGGCCTTTAATTCTTTTCCTCATATTTTTCGTAATTTCTTCATTTATTTCAGTTATGGCTTTCTCTTAAGCTTATTGCTTCCCTTGTTTCTCTCTACTTATCTATTTATTGTTCTTTCGTTTTTTTCTTGTAACACAATTTCTTTCCTTTCTTTCCTTTTTAGGATTTCGCACGTTTCTTTTCATTTCTCTATTTCTTTTCCTCATTTATTTTATTTCTTTCATTTTTTTCTTTCTCTTCCTTCCATTCAATTACTTTCTTTCTTTCTTTCTTTCTTTCTTTCTTTCTTTCTTTCTTTCTTTCTTTCTTTAGTTTTTTCTCTGTTTTTTCCATTTCTTTCTTAAATACTTTCTTTCTTTCTTTCTTTCTTTCGTTTCTTTTTTTTTATTCCAATCTTTCTTTCTGGCCATTCTGTTCTTTCAAATTCGTTCTTTCTTTCAGTTTTTCGTTTTGGTCCTTCTGTTTCTTTCTTTCTTTCTTTCTTTCTTTCTTTCTTTCTTTCTTTCTTTCTTCTCGCCTATTTATTTTTCATTTTTCTTTACTCTCGTCTATGCCTTCTTTCTGTCTGTCTTTCTTCTTGCCTATGTATTTTTTCTTTCTTTATTTCGGTTGTTCGAATTGTCTCTTTTCTTTCTTTCTTTCTTTCTTTCTTTCTTTCTTTCTTTCTTTCTTTCTTTCCCTCATTTCTTTTTTAATTCCGTATTTCTTCCTGCCCCTTCTGTTCACCGAAATTCATTCATTCATTCTTTCTTTCTTTCTTTCTTTTTTTCTTTCTTTCTTTCTCGCTTTGTCTATTTGCCTCACTATTTCTTTGTTCTTTCTTGCGTTCGTTTCTTTCTTTCTTTCTTTCTTTCTTCCTTCCTTCCTTCCTTCCTTCCTTCCTTCCTTTCTGTTACTTACGTTCTTTCTGTTCTACCTTTTGTTTTTTTTTCTTTCTTTTCTGCATTTTACATTCTTTCTTTCATTAAGTTATTTTTATTTCATTTCCTCAATGTTTTCTTTCCTTCGGATGAATTACTTATATTCTATATTTGTAAATTTGCTATGCACTGAAAAATTCCCGAGTAGTGATTTTAATGCCGTCAACTAATCCAATAGATATCATGGTCAACTGACACTGCAGTCAGGCCGGGTGAGGACGCCGTATTTCAATGAATCAGACATTGTCCCGAGACAGTGTTGTGGAACAATAATCTTCAGTATTGATTTTAATATCACGTAAAATATTTATGGTGATTAGCTGCTAAGTTAATATGCCACAGGATTCAATCCTATTCTGTCTACAGATAGTATATTTGTCCATAGAACCTGTCGTTCTGAAAAGTTCCAAGACAGTTGCTATAATCTAGAGCATAAAAATGGAAAGAATCGTGGATTACGAAACGGAAGAACGCCGACAAGCCTTGCTAAGCTAATGTGTGCTTTAAATGTCCAAGTAGGAATTCAAGAAATTTAGACGACAACCTTACATAAGTATTTCAAGAATATTTAGTGGGGCAGTGATGGAGTATTTTGGAGACTTTCTGTGACTCGTTCACCAGCGATAACTACCAGAAAGGTCTACTGTGAATTGGAAACTCAAGGAAAAATCGATACCATCCAGACGATAGCATTACGAAAATCAGCAAAAATACTGAGAAGAGAGCTGAAGAATTAAGGTGAGTTGCTGTCGCGATGGTCACCAGAATGTAATGATGTGAACTACGAGGGTCATTCAATAAATAAGCTGAATTTTTCGGTATAAGGACTTCTAATACAGATAGAAGCTTACTTCTTCTTTTTTTTTTCAACGTAATCTCCCAGCACTGTCACACACTTTTCCCATCTGTGCACAAGCTTCCGTATTCCCTCAGCGTAAAAATCTTTGGATTGATGTCTCAGCCAGTCGCTCACAACACTTTTGACTTCATCGTCACTTTTAAACTTCGTGCCTCTCGTGAACGCTTTCAAGGGACGAAACAGGTGAAAGTCTGAAGGGGCAAGGTCTGGGCTGTAAGGGGGATGAGGGAGCAGTTCCCAGCCCAGCTCATTGATGGTCTGCACCGTTTGGGCTGATGTGTGAGGCCTTGCGTTGTCATGATGCAAGATGACTCCTTCTGACTGATGACCCCTGCGTTTGTTCTTTATGTCTTTCTTGACCTGCCTCAGCAGTTCACAGTAGTTCTACTGTCAGACTGAATGAGGCCATTGACTGATTCGATCACCTCAGGAGACTTCACTTCTGTAGGCCTCCCAGGCCTGTCTTCATCCTCAACACTGCTCCGTCCTTCTTTAAACAATTTAGCCCACTTGTAGACATTTTTTTGGCTGAAACATGTGGCAGCATACACAGTTGACATTCTCCTATGAATTTCAACTGGTTTTCACCCTTCAGCAACCAAAAACTTGATAAGTGACCGCTGTTCAATCATGGAGCATGCTTCTTGGTCGGCCATCTTTGTTAATCGCCAAAACTCTTAAAGTTTTTTTTTTTTTTTTAAATTTTCAAAAGAAATTAAATCCATATGAAAAAGAAGTAAAAAAAAGAAAAAAGTAAGCTTCTATTTGTATTAGAAGTCCTTATACCGAAAAATTCACCTTATTTATTGAATGACCCTCGTATAAATCTGAAGAAAAATCGACACCATCCAGACTAGAGTATTACTAAAATCAGAATGAATACTGTGGAGAGTGCTGAAATAATAATATGACTTGCTGCATCTCGTCCATCAAACGCTAGCTGTACTAAAATCAGCAAGAACACCAAGGGAAAATGCTGGAGTACTATGGAGAGATGCTGCAACTTATTCACCAAGGATGAGGACAAGAAAGTAATGATGTGAATTGGAAATCCGAGGAAGAATTGACACTATCCAGACGACAGCATTGCTAAAATCAGCAAGAATACTGAGGAGGGTGCTGGGATACTGAAGTGGCTTGCTGTCGCTTGTTCACGATTGACGATTATCAGAAAGCTCTGATTTGAATTAGATATCCGAGGAATAATACAAACCATCTAGACGAAAGCATTACTAAAATCAGCAAGAATGCTGAGGAGAGTCCTGGAGTATTGATGAGACTTGTGTGTCACTCGTTCAACTGACTAAAGCATGAAGATGCGAAATGGAGATCTGGGGAAGTATCGAAAACACCCATGCGGCAGTGTTGCTAAAATCAGCAAAATACTGAGTAGGGTGCTGGAGTTTTGAGATGACTTCATGTCACTCGTTCGACAGAAATTACCAAAGAAAGCATGAAAATTTGAAATGGAAATCCGAGGAAGAATCGAAACTATCAAGGCGAAAGTATTACTAATATCAGCAAGAATACTGAGGAGAGTCCTGGAGTATTGAAGAGACTTGCTGTCACTCGTTCAGCAGAAACAAGTATGCATGAAGATGTGAAATGGAGATCAGTGGAAATATCGAAACCAGCTAGACGACAGTGTTGCTAAAATCAGGAAAATACTGAGGAGGGTGCTGGAGTATTGAGATCACATAATGTAACTCATTCAACAAAGATTACCACAAGAAAGAATGAAGATGTGAAATGGAAATCCGAGAAAGAATTGAAACCATCTAGATGACAGCGTTACTAAAATCATCAAGGATACTGAGGAGAGTCCTGGAGTATTGAGGTGACTTCATGTCACTCGTTCAACAGAGATGACCACAAGGAAGCATAAAGATTTGAAATGGAAATCCAAGGAAGAATCGAGGCCGTCTACACGACAGCAATACTAAAATCACCAAGAATACTGAGGAGAGTGCTGGAGTATTTAAGAGACTTGCTGTCACTTAGCTGGATTATTGAAGAAACTTACTGTCACTTGTTCATCATTGATCAATACTAGAAAAATTTTCTCAGACGTTACAAATAATAGATATAATAATTCATGTGTTACAAAAATCTGTATATATATATATATATATATATATATATATATATATATATATATATATATATATATATATATATATATATATATATATATAAAAAAATGTGGGGGAAAAAAATATACGGAAAAAAAAACAAAAAAATCCTTATATACAATTATGCTGTTTTAATGTTAATATGTCAACGTGGACGTTTCGGTGAAAATAAACCATGAAAGGACATAAAAATAAATTATAACATTATGAATACAACATGAAGATGGTTTATTAGACCGAAACGTCCGACGTTGAATAATTAACATTAAAACAGCATAATTGTATATATGATTTTTGTTTGTTTTTTCCGTATACATTTTTCTTCATACTGTCGGATCTATATCCATATATTTGCTTATATATATATATGGTGTTTATCATCATTAATATTATTTATTTATTTCCATCCTGTATCCTTCACCAAGCAGCAGACAATCAACCCGGCTCCCAACAAATCCATTTTCTGGTGAAATATCTAGAAGAGCTCATTGTTTTTATCGGTCGTCGTCACTAACGATTGGAATGGGGAGGTGTTGTGGAAGAAAAGGAAACAAGCCGTAAATTGTATTTTGGTTTCTCATCTTAATCTTTCTTTCAAGAATTTCTATGGTGGACGGACATAAAAGTTTTGAAATTGGCCTTCTTTCATGTCGACACCCTAACCCCGATACCCGTATGTTTCGAGAGATTGAAAGAGGGTGGAAGAAAGGAGGATGAAAGAAAGAAAAAGAAAAAGCAAAAATGAAAGAGAAGCAAAGAAAATGAAATATGTACGAGAATAAAGGAAAATTATTATTATTATTATTATTAATAATAATAATAATGAGAAGAAGAAGAAGAAGAAGAAGAAGAAGAAGAAGAAGAAGAAGAAGAAGAAGAAGAAGAAGAAGGTGGAGGAGGAGGGACTTCTAAAGATGGAACCGAATTAATATGAAATAAAGACAACAAAGATGCATTTGAAGGAAAAAGAGACAGAAATTATTAAGGAATGAAAAACTAAAATAACTCTAAAAATAAATAAGAAAGAATGAATGAGTGAATGAATGAATGATTGAGTGACGTTGAAAAAAGAAGAATGAATGAATAAAAGAATGAATTAAGTTGAAGAAATATGTAATGGACAAATGAGTGAATGAAATAAACTGAATGATAAAAGAAAGAATAAAGTTGAAGAAAGAAAGAACGTGTTAATGAAGAAAAGAAGTCGATAAAAATAAAGAAAGAATGAATGAATGAAAGCTGTTGGAGAGAAATAGAAAGAATGGATGTAAAAAGTTGAGAATAAAAAATCATAGAATAAAGATGAAGAAAGAATGAGTGAAAGTGAAAGTAAAAGAAAGAAAATGAAAAAAATATGTAATTGAATTAACAACAAACTTTTCGGGGAGAAATTATAAGACAGAAAAATAAAACCAAGAAAAATTAAGAAGACATTCAACACAAGAATCCTAAAAATGGAGAAGAATGAGGAGTTCTGAAAGAATGAAAAAAAAAAGAAAAATGAATGAATGAATGAAGGAAAAAGGATGAAAAAGAAGAAAGAACCTTTTAAAATGTTGCCGAGTTAATACAAAATAAAAAAAACAGACAATTACATAGCTGAGGAACAAAGAGAAAAATATCAATTAAAAAATAAAGAAAGATTGAAAAAGAAATGGAAGAAAAAGAAGGAATGAATGAAAAAAATTAATTAATGAAGTTGAAGTAAGAATGAATTTGAAGAAATATATGGACAAATAAATGAATAAAATACGTTGAATGATAAAAAAAGAATAAATGAATAAACTTGAAGAAAGAAAGAATGTATTAATGAAGGAAAAAGGAGGAACGCGTGAATGAAAGCTTTTGAAGAATGAAAAAAATAATTTGAGGAAAAAAATGATAGAATGAAAATGAAAAAAGAAAGTATGACTGACCGAAGCAACTGAATGAAAAGAAAATGTTAGGGAAAAGAAGGAAATGGCTGAAAAATCAAATCAAGAAAGAAATGGCTGAAAAAGCAAATCAAGAAAGAAAGGGCTGAAAAAGCAAATCAAGAAAGAAATGGCTGAAAAAGCAAATAAAGAAAGAAAAGGCTGAAAAGCAAATCAAGAAAGAAATGGCTGAAAAAGCAAATCAAGAAAGAAAACGCTGAAAAAGCAA